GGGCCCTGCAGCCGGGTGCGCTCCGGGTGAGTTGCGGCAGAGGTGGAAAGGGAGAGAAATTCTCCTTTTGAGGCGTTAAAGTGATGGTTTGGAGCGGGGTTTGATAGCGAGGTGGAGATTCAAGGCTCTTTCCTGATGTCTGAGAGGGAGCCTGGGGCCTCGCTGCCCTTTTTGCTGCCTCTTAGAACCCTTCGCGTTGCCTTTTCTGTTAAGTTTTTTTTCTTTTATAACAAATAGATGGCTTTATACTGACTTCCTCTTACCTTTTCCTTTTTCAAACAGTACTTAACCAGGCGCATCCCTCAGAACCCCAGATATCAGCATATAAAAACCCGCCTCGATACCGGTAAGTGAAATTCTTATAGCAGAAAAATACCAAATGTGGATATAGGAATACACCAAAAGTTGCTGAGTGTCTTAACTGAGCTACTTTACCCCGATACTTGTCCAGCTAGGACAGAGTTCTCATCGCATTTACCATGTGTCTCACCTTATGTCGTGCTCTGTTTTGCTGGTTCCCACAGAAATTACTGGTCTTGGCGTTTTTATATGTGGGTTTTTCTTGTATAAACTGGTATCTTGATAAGGGTGTAAGCCAAGAGAATTATTTTGAGAGTGTCTTTGGGGATTTTTTTTTGTTGCTGAAGTGGTTGAATTTTATCCAGCCTGTAGTATCCACACACAACCATTGGGGAAGGGACAGTGTGGCCATAATTGTGCTTGAGGTAGCGTATCGGAGGCAAGGTTTGAGTAGCAAGGTCTTGGTTTCAGCTTCTTTAAAGATAAGGCTGTAACGTACTGAGTTTTAGGTAGTGACTTGCTAAAGGTGATGACATTCACCAAAGCATCCTCCAAGCCACTTATGCTTTTGAGTAGATGGGCTTGGTGTGCAACTTGTGAATTGGAAGGGTGCTACAAGGCTGGGTTTTTTTGGGCATATCACCATTCTGACTTAAAGTCTGGATACTTTTATACCCATTACTGAAAACCCTGTAAAATAAACGCTTGAGTGCATTCTGTAGAAGAACTGAAACAGGGCTGTGGGTGTAGAAGAAGATTTGAGCTCCTTCTGGTCATGAACATTCGCAGCGACTCCCTCTCTCCAATACAGAGGCTTTAAGCTGCAGAGCACTGACCATTCCCAGAGGCAGTCGGGGTGCAGCAAGTCCCTTGAACTGACTTTGCTCTTTAGCTTGGCCTTGCTTGCAAAATAAAGACACCAAGACAAAAATCCTGGTACTTTCTGATTTATGGCTGCCTTGTATTGTCATGGGAAAAGAGGATTTGCAACAACTATTTGTTACAGTCTGATCTTTTTCTTCAGAAGAAGATTAAGCATTAATAACGCCGAAGAAAACTATTAATAAAAACACTGTAGCAAACTGATGCTATTTTTTTGTGTGTGTGATTGTTACAGGCAACAGTTTAACAAAATACACCGAGAAGTTAGAAGAGATCAAAAGAAGTGAGTACCTGGGGAGGAGCAACTTGTCGTGAGTTAATTTAAGACTGAAAGAGCATTAAGAAGCTGTTTTGAATCCCAGACTCTCAGTTAGCTTGGAAATCTTCGCTCAAATGATCCCCACAGCCGTTGACAGGAGTGAGCTATAGAAAGACACAGCAGTAGGATGCTAAGGTGCTTCTACCTTGGTTCTTTGCTGGGCACATTTCACTTTGTCCTACACCTTATTTCTCTGTCTCTCACACTGGTTTATAAATTTAGCTTAAGAAAGCAGGCGGGCAGGTCTAGGAGCCTTTCCAGACCCTTCTTTTTTCGGTGAATTTTCTTATTGAACGGAAACCAGGCAGGAAGAAAATCTCTGGACTAAGAAAACTAAACAAGACAGATCTGGGAAGACTCAGACTGTTTTTCTGAGGCTTAGGTAACAAAATGATTGAGCTTGTGATCTTGTACTTTTGCAGAATTTTAGCATACTTAAATTTCTGTCAGGATGCTCCAAGACAGGAGAGAAGCTCATTGCTGTGTAACTCCCTGGTTTTACCGAAATAACATTGTTTACCACAGCAGCATTGATGTTTTGAAGACTTTGGGTCATTCAGACTAATGAATTATTTTATTTCAGTCCTTTTTCTGACTGAAAATAGGCTTTAAAAAAAATCCTTACTAATAAAACTAATGTTTTTCTGCTCTATTTTCAGCTGCTGTCTGGATTAGTTTCACATAGAGAGCCAGGAAAGCTATTAAACCCCAAAGCTGCAGTTATTGATGTGAAAGAAAAATCAACCCCATTAATGAGAACTAATTAGGTTTTTGAATGTGTTCCTCTAAAATAGTTATATTTAAATTATAAGGGAGGTGAATAATCCGTCACAGAAACATATCTGTGCTTGGCTTCGTGCAAAATGGTCCTTTGTTGCTGGTTGGTTTGTTGTTTTTCTGTAACACCATGGGTCTTTTGGGGAAAATCAGAAGAGAAATGACCTTGTTTTCCAAAATCCTGCATTGCCTGGCTAAGATTTCAGTGCCTAACACTGGGTTGCCGTCGCGTTTTTCATCTGTGCTGAAGATCTTGTTGTGTGGGTCTAAGTTGGTTTTCAATCTGATTTCGTTTCGTGTAGGAGGGCTTTTGTTTCAGTGCAGTTCTGGAGTCCGGAAGAAACTTTCTCATTGAATTTGTCCTGAATAGACACCTTTCTGTTCCCAGGCAGTTTAGAAACCTCTCCCCCTTTGATTTCTCATGGATAGATGACACCGTTTGGACACAATTTTAAATACCCAGCACAGGCAACTCTCTGTCTCTCGTGTAACTTGAGAGAGAGTGGGATTTAATACCCACTGCGGAGTCAAAAATGATAAGAGAGCTGAAACCACGATGATTTGTTCTTTGGGGACTGACTTTGAGGAGAGACACCACATCTCTTCCCTTTCCCTGGTGCTGCTTCCCTCATTTCCAAAGCCTTGAGGAGCGCATCCTTCAATACCCAAGAATTAAAGCTTCAGACTGAAAAAAATGTCTGAAAATCTGAATGACTCTTCCAGGACAGGACCGGGTACGTCCAGGACAGGACCGGGTACGTTGTGTAGCTTTTGTAGCTGGAAGCAGGGCTTCCAAATCTCTGTTAACAGCTGAGAGGTTCATGCAGATGTTCAGATTGGTCCCATCCTTGTCGGGCTTCGTAATAATAATGGGTTTATTTTGGGTTTTCCTGTTGCTAGAAAGAATTTTGGGTGGTAGAGGCAAGATCTGGGTCGTAAAGCCTTCTTCTAGGGTAAATACTTCGTGCTTGAGGTGGAAAGAAACCACCAGCGCTATGAGCACTGCCATGACGGTTCTGCTTTGTCAGTATTTATGTATATCCAGCACTTAATTAAGCTTTGCTGCTTTTATTTGTCCTAAATTAAGTTTATTTCCTGCTCTTCACGTGACTGAAGGGCTCCTTTTGCCCACGGCTGGGGAAGTTTTATCCATTTAGACGTGGGTTTTTGTCAAGCAAGTGAAATGGGCCGTATAAAAGATAATTGTTGTTGTTCTTTTTTAATTATAGGGAGACTTCAGCAACCAGAGCTTGAGGCTTAAAGCCGGGTGCTTTTGCAAGAACCACAGGGGTCATTTTTTTAGTAAACTGACTTTCTGAAATCTTAATTTATGTGTGGGTCTTGTACTTCAGACCCATGCGTTGCAGAGCGCTGGGGTGTTTTTGGTGGGCTCCTTATTTCGAAGGCAACTTGTTGAGTAGCAAGCGGGCACTTATATAGGGTAGGATGTTGAATTTGGGAACTCTCCTTGCTCTGAACGCTGAAAATTAATCGACCTACCACTTCAGGAAGCATAGTTGAGAGGGAAGGGGTAGGAATAATTAAAAAAAAGAGAGAGATGAAAGCTCCGTTTCTCTTTTTGTGCGTGTCCTGCTACTGTAACGTGACCTTGGGCTGCGTATGGGGAGGGAAGCGTGTGATCACCACTTGTGTTTGGAAGGGACCTCAGCCTCCAGCATTCACATGGCTCCTCTATACACGTCAGCTTGAGCATTCCCATCAACTAATTTTATGGTAGTTTTTTGTGTGGTGGTTACAGGAACGTGCATCAGAGCCCTGCTCTCTCATCTTCCCTTGCTTTAAGCTACGGAGCACTGGGCAGATGGTTTTTAGAGGATTTCCAATTGCTTAACTGGCTGGATTTGCTAAAGGTCCCGTTTGCCGTTGTTAGCCCTCTTAGGTGAGCAGCTGGAGAGAGCCCGGTGTGGAATATCCTCTGACAGTCACTAAAATGGTTTAAAAATCACAAAGGATTTTCCTTTTTTTAAACAATGAAAAATCTGAGTCGTCAGAGGTGGAGCCTAGGATGGGAGGAGGGAAAGA